CCCCAGATCGTGCATTCCTGCAGTGTCAGAACCTCTGGCAGCAGCTGCAGACGTTGGGGGAGCGATTGTTTTACTACACAGCAGGTCGGAGAAAGGACGAGTGTGGTCGTGTAGTGGTGTGTGTGTTGGCGGCGGGGAGTGGTGGTGGTGGGACGCGCTGCGGTCCTCTGGGCCCAGGACTCTGGAGATTGCGGGCTTAACTGAGGAGGTGTTATACAACCCTTCTTTTCTTCCCTCTTGCCTTTCCCTTCCCTCCTGGCAGCTCCGACACTCCTTAACTCCCCTTCTACTCCAGCGTCCTGGTCTTACTTGACCACAAGGGCAGTGGAGTATGTGTGAGGCCTGAGAGGGATGAGTCCGACTTCCATGCATCACCAGCCATTGTACTGCCTGAAGGAGCCTTTCTTTACCCCAACAGACTGGTTGTGGGCCTGCGGGGCGCGGGTTAGGGGATCTGAGATGGAGGTGAATAGAGCCAGCAGCAGTAGGAAGGACGCCGAACCACGAAGGGTTCATATGCAATGAAATATTCTCTTTCTGCCAAATGTGCAGTTGGCACAAACCCGTACATTGGCTGAGGTTTGCTCAGGAGCCGTGGGAATCTGATGGTGGATTAGCAGAGGGCAGGTTTTAGGGATGGATGTGGGGGGCCAAAGAATGGATCTATAGAGCAAGTAATGGGAAGGATGGGTCGGGGTATGAAATGGGGCTTATGTGGAGGTGCAGAGGCCCAGCAGAGGAGGGAGGCATGGTGAAATCTCCTGCTCAGCTCAGCAAAGCAGAGACTGATAATTTGTACGGCAGCTCCAAGCTGCAGCTAGTGCATCATTGTGGTGCAGGGAGAGGCTTTTATGTTACCTACTGGGTCCCTGGTAAACTCCTTGAATGTCTTTTCTTTTCAAACTACACCATCTATTGGAAACCAAAATAAATGGAATAGATATAGGATAATCAAACTATAGTCCTGCACTCTGTTCTATGGTAAAGAAAAAAATGACTTTCCCATAATTCCTTCTTTAATGCCATTTTTTAAATCTATTCACTTTGGAAGTATAAAGAGAGTATAGCTATTACTTATATTAACTCAAGTGTGTGTGTGTGTGTGTGTGTGTGTGTGCAGGGACCAAATCCAGGGCTTCGTATGTGCTAAGTAAGTGCTCTACCACTGAACTACATCTTAGCCCTTAACCCTGACTTTGGAGGGAAGGAGGCCTTTGAGATGAGCTGTGACTGAGCACAGGAACAAGTTGCCAGGAAGGAAGATTAGAAGGTTGTTTCAGACATTTTAGTTAGGGGCTGAAGGCACCCAGCTAAAAGAGAGCAAAAGAATGGAGGCAAAAGGAAGGAAGGTAAGGGGGCACCGTTGCAAGGCTTGTGCCAACCCCAACCCAGAGGATGCCCCTCTTCCCCACTCCTTGAGGGTATGGTAGAGCCCGTTAGAATGCTTGATTCTCATCTCCTCTGTCACAAATGCTGGGTTCAGTTTGGGTACTGAGTGACCAGATTCTCATTTAGGCTTTCAATTTTAGCTGCATCTCTAGCTGGTCATTCATGCAGTGCTTCTTGGCTCCTTGACAGTGTGTTGATAACAAGCAATCTGGCTCTATTATGGATTGTTTCCAATACCATGTTTCTGGACTCTAGATCTTGGTGTTCATTTCTTTTATAATTTCCTAGATGAAACTATTTCTCTAAAGTCTGTTTGTACTGAGGATAGAATAGAGAGACCAAAGACTCAGGAAACTTGAATGAAATGAATTGAAAAAAGCCTTAGTAAAAAAATCTGCCCAGGTGTTTTCATCAATACTTCTCTCATTTGGTAAGCATTCCGAAACATCATACATAGACTAATATGGCAGGGAAAATTTTTTTTGCTTGAAATGCTCTTGTGCCACTTTTTTTATGTAAATAAGTTATCCTGGTGTTCCAAGCATTGTTGACATTTATTGAACACTTTCTGTTTTCCACACATTGTGCTTAGCACTTCAAAGACAATCTCATTGATCAGTGAAATAACCTTGAAAGTAAGCACTATTTTAAACCCCATTGTACAGATGGCAAAATTGTAGCACAGGGAGGCAGATAATTTGCCCAAAGTCTCACTCCAGTTAGGAGTCTGTTTTTTTTTTCTTCCTCATGGATTCTTTTTCTTGAGAGAGTGAAAGAGAGAATTTTTAAAAAAATATTTATTTTTCACTTTTCGGCGGACACAACATCTTTGTTTGTACGTGGTGCTGAGGATCGAATCTGGGCCGCACTCATGCCAGGCAAGCGCGCTGCGGCTTGAGCCACATCCCCAGCCCAGGAGTCTGAGTTTTTAACCATCACTGGGTACTATACTACCTCAATTAACACAAATCCTTTGACTATAAAACCTTCTCTATTCTCTATTATACCCTGAGATATTTTCTTAACTAGCTTTTTTTTTTT